GCCCCACGTATAGAGCTAAACTCAGCGGTCAGATTCAGATGAATATAATAAAATTGACTGTTCAAGTAGTCCAGACATACTGTGAAAGCAAACCAGGAGCTTCAGGAGTGCTACAAGCACCGAGACAGTCACCTGATCAAACTACAGACTGGAAGACCCACAAACAAACAGCTGAACACAGGACCACCAAAGCATCAGAAAATCTATTCTCTGGTGATGCCCATGGCTTCCAAACCTCAGACTTGTCCTTTGTAGACCAAGGACAAGTTACTATTATATTAGACTGTCCTGTTACATTTGAGCACAACAGCAGAATGACATGAAAAGTTAAAATTGACAGTTTTTTTCTTCTTACCCTTCTATAATCAAGACTTTTTGCCTATTTTCAGTCCTTTAATACTTGAAGGATCCCTAAGCTGTGTCAGGAGAAGAAATTGTGAAGATGTTTTTAAAAGTGCATTTATCAGGTTTGGCCTTGTCATTGTAAATGTCAGGACCGTTGAAATGCATGATTGTTCATCTTTGTAACTTCTTCGCTACACTTCATCAAAATGATGAGTGTGGAGTTTTTTCTTAATTTAAAGTAATAATTTTTTCATAGTCACGGTCTGTTCTTTGACTGAAAACAAGCACACAAATTAGACTTGTCCCATTACTTTATATAATAATAGTTATAAATGCGTTTGTTTAAACTTTTGATAATTTTCTGTCTATTTGAGAGTTAGGGGAATTTGGCAGCTACAAGCCCATTCAGCCCACACACTGTAACTTGCCTTAAATGTGACAGATGGGTTCCTTGTCGTGCCAACCAAAAACATCAAGGACACCCCCTCCATCCCACCCCCCAGTCTGTTCATGTGGTGGAGATACTATCAAAAAATTGTGTGCTACAATATAGTTCAGAATTTTTCCAACATCATGAAGTTGAATGTTTTTCTATTTATTTTGCTCCTCAGCTTTCTTAACAGGTGTCACTCACACAGCGCTCCAATGGACATCCCCAGTGAAGCAACGTTGGAAAATCCACACAAAGCGTACGTTGCAATGGCTTCAGAATGGACCTGGAACAGAGCAAATAAATCTAGTAAAGAAAACGCATGAAGTTGTAGGTATGCGGGGGGGGGGTGTCATGAATTACAAAAGCCTACATTTGCACTAATACAGTTTGATGTAAATAAATGTGTATATACCACCCTCTGGTGTTCAGCAAAAATATTGCGCTGGGAAAATTCACAGGCGTCACTTGCCCAATTGACTGACACCTGACTGTCGAAGTTGTCTCCAAGCATTCAGTGCAGCATCGAAACGCATCGAATACCACCAATCAGCTCATATCTGCATTTGCCAGTGACTGCACAGATGATTGTTCAACAACAACGTGTATCTGTGGATACTGGCCAAGTGACTAGCATAGCTGGAGACAGTCATATGGAAAGTGATGAATGGTCTGATACTGTTCTGTAAACAGAAGGACAACTGCAGTAGATATATTTCAAAGCTGGACACATTCATGGACTCGTGTGGGACAGATATGTTGGCATCTGCACTGATGGCGCACGGGCCGTGACTGGGAGACACGGAGCATTATTTTTGGTCTCAATGCGATGTTGTCTTTGTCCTCGAGGACAAGGACAAAACAGTTTTTCTTGTATTTTTTTTATTTCCCTGTTTAGTTATAGCTCTCACTTCCTGTTTTTTTAAAATGTTTTTTTAATGGAATCCACAGTTGTTTATCCTTCCTAACTGGATAGACTGATATCTGTGAAGTTCTGCTGACTTTGTGTGGCATCGTGATGACAAATGACTGATTCACTGTTTTGTGAACAGTGACTAATCATACTGAGCAAACCAGATAGGGAAAGAACTAAAAATTAGAAGAGAAATAGTGAGAACATGAATAAAACTTACAGAAATGTATTGCTTCACATTGTTCACATATTCTGGCCCCCCTGCCTTCCTCCGGTTTATCAACTCTGACAGCTTCTGAAAGGCCACAAACTCACTAAGGAATGTCTTAATGCCCATCAGTTCAGCAACAATGAAACTGTCCTCAAAGGAAACACCCATCATGAAGGAGAGAGGCATGAACACGTAGGAGCAGATGAGCTAAAAAAGGGACACAAAGAAGCAGAAACAATAGAAAAATAGTCACATCAAGCTGTGTTTTATTATATTTATATAAAGTTTATTTTGGAGGGTTGGTGTATGTGTTTGTGTATATTCACTGAGAAGCTGAGCTGTGGACAGTCGAACATCCCTCCCAGCCAGGAGAGGACAGCATCAAAAAAGGACAGCAGGGCCATGAAGGCAATGATGTTGGCTAAAACGCTGGCCACTAGTGCGATTGCACGAGATGCACCAAGGGATGCCGCCTCCAACAAATTCTTGCTTTCACTGACGAAGAAGTCAGAAAGAAGTGACAGGATGAAGCAACAGCGAAATAATGTAAACAGAGTGAATTTAAAGATTGAACTGTAGAAAACCATTGTAACCATTTGAATCAAGTAGACAATAGATGTTGTATGGTGTAGTTATCTGTGTGTTTACTGTGATCACTCCTACCCACCCCTTGTCCATTTTGACTGGTCGATTGGACCTTGAAACTATAGTTTCAGGCCAGAACATCTTAGCAATGGCCAGGGAAGCTGGAGCAGACATTACTGTTGCTGTCAACAAGTGTGTTGCATCAACCTCAAAGGAAAGGCAACAAATGGCACAGATTAATTTTTCATTTTCTTTTTATCAAATTGTCAAATTCAGTCACAAGCCTTAAATGAAATTAGAAATTACTCTATTTTTTGCATCCTGCTCTTTGAAATTGAGCATTAATAATTACAATAAATGTGACCTTTATTCAGCCATGAAGATGAATCTCTTTTGAGAGAGAGACCTGGTCGAGATAGAGAGCATAACTGGATGGTTTTTTTGATGTTGGGGTAAACTCTGCCCACTGCATTGCAAAATTTAAGCTGCCCAGGTCAATAGAAAAGGTTGAGAAGATAGAAATTGTGTCTTGATTTAAGTTTTCTGTTTTATTTCTGAAAATACTCACGTATTACTTTCCAGTTCGTTAAACTTCTTGTTAAACTGCTGTCCAGTTATCACATGTGAGGTTGTCTTTGAACTTCTTATAGCCAATGTTTTTTTAAAATCTTGTCAATCACTCTTGTATTTTCCCGCTGCGTTCCCTGTGTATACTTTTCATTGCTTGTAGTTTAGCACTTTCCCAATTCCCATTTAATTATTCAGACTTGACATGAATTTGCCTTGTGTCTGCCCTTATTCCCTTTATTTGTATTTTTATTTGTTTTTGTTAGTTTATTCACGAGAATAAAATTTTAATCAAGCGCACACAGGACAAGTTTGGGTGCCTAAACACTTTCCAAATATGCCTAACTCTGACAATCTCAACACTTCTTCAAATCCACATCCCATCCTTTCAGCACATCCTCTTCCTCACCCCAAAGGAGATGTAGGCTCCCAAAATGGTACCAGAGATGCTGGCAAAACCTCCTGTCATCACAGCATGGATCTCTGAGAGAGTTAGCTCACTGATATATGGACGAATCAGGAGAGGTGAGTTGGCCTGATGAGAGAGATGACGATGAGGACAGACAATGGAGTCGACTGAGATTAGTTGATCAATACAGTTGACATTAGTGTACTATTGTAAATGGTTACAGTTGCTTACAAGTCCAAGGAATATATTTCCAGCTGCAGCCATTGATTCTGCTGGAGATGTTCCCATGGTAACCTGCATTATGAATCCAATCTGGGGAAAAATCAGTGATGGAATGTAAAACAGGGGAAAACTGTAATAATAATAATAATAATGATAATAATAATAATAATAATAATAATAATAATAATAATAATAATAATAATAATACTATTATGTTCACTCTCACTGAACTGTCCATTTATTTCTTACACTTAAGGGTTTAAAGATACATTCTCATTCCGTGCTGTCTGTTACTATAACAGTCAACAGTCTTATTTCTAAAATAATGCTTTGAAACAATTCATCTGACTCCTTATACAG